AGCAAGCATGGTAGGTGGAGTTGAAGAGCTGATAATATCAGGCTCTGATGAACATCAGCAATAATACCATATACAACCCAGACATTTTGGTCTTGTAATGACTATTTCGGCCAACAAAACCAAAGTGATGGGCAGAATGTAGTTTATGCTGTGATTTTAGGATTAATGGATCCCAATATCGTGACTCCATCACCGCCCCCTGCCAACCTCCACATGAACATCTCAGCCCCATCTCACAAAGCTCGCTTAGCACTACAATGGATGTATCATCTACGCTAACACAGACTAGCAAGAAATGTAGCGATTCAGTTCAGGTCCTGTTCACGCCTACACTACCCAAAGTCCCATTCTACTAAGCACTCTAAGCACTACAACTTCAACAACCTCTACTAGAACAGGGGTGGTGGGGTAGCCTAGTGGTTAAAGCGTTCACTCATCATGCCGAAACACGGGTTCGATTCCCCATATGGGTACAATGTGTGAAGCCCATTTCTGGTGTCCCCCGCCGTGATATTGCTGGAATATTGCTAAAAGCGGCGTAAAACAATACTCACTCACTCTACAAGAACGTTGGCTTCCAGAAGCTGAAGCAGTAACGGTTACTATGTGAAACAGGCCCTGTTCTATAACCGCTATATCGCCCTTTAATCCACTAATACATAGTACAATAACACTGTTAAAGTACTGAATTATGATCAACCAAAATCTCTGTGTGGAATACAGCCGAGGCCAAAGAGTCTGCTATGTGAAGCCATCTTATTGTAACAACTGTCACATCCTCTACACTGTATCACATAATACACTGAGTGTAGTGGGAATAGTCTTAACGTTACATTGTCTTCAGCTCCCACACAATCAACCTCCAGGCCAAGCTCTCCACTAATATCTTCATCACTATACGGCTGAAATAACGCTGATGCAACAGAGTGTTTTACTCACTAACAAATCTTACTCTCTAGTGTAAAGGCTAACGCCATCGGTTTTAAACCTAGATTTGCGGGTGTTGAATTACGATGAATGCCGGAAATTTCACAAACGTAACTATTTATCTTCTACCTGACATATTCCAACTCCCACAACCATACACTCACTGTTACAATGTCTGCTTTAGCCTCTACAAAAGGATTGGTTGGTTGGTTGTTGTTTAACCCACACTCAGCAATATTCCAGCTATATGGTGGCGGTCCATAAATACTCAAGTCTAGACCTAACAATCCTGTGATCAACAGCATGGGCATCAATCTATGCAATTGGGATACGATGACACATGTCAACCAAGTCAGCATCTGACTGAATTCTAACCCGGATCTTCACAGGTTCTACAAAAGGAACCAACATCCTGAAAGTTGCTCTCTGACAAAGACGCAGTGAAATTATTGCTGGTCGTACGGTACATGAGACTAAGAAAGTAAGTGCTTGACAGCGACAACACTACCATCTAGAATAATGGGATTTTTTGGTAATTAAAGACGACAATACAGCAACGTCTGGAGAACACTGGCATAGTGTAAAACAGGTTCAGTCCTAGATTACCGTGATCGCTGCCAAGGTTAAACTATCTGCCCAGCAGGCTGCCATTTGCACTAGCTGCCTTCTCATGTTCAAAATGTTTTTTTCCAAACCATTCAGGTGTTAATTGAAACATAACCTGGACCGTACTGTTAATAAAATACAAAATGATTGATTCAGGAAAAAAATATTTGAACAAACTTATAGGGATTTCCTACTACAACGCTACATTGCATGTGACACATCAAATTTGAGATGATTTATTCCAAATGAAATTGACAGTCTATTGTGCTGAACTGAAAAGTTGTACAAATATCAAAGTTCTTCGAAAGTACAATTTTGGCACGAACACATATACTGCAACAGAATCAATATATATTAAAAAAATTGAATGCTTTCCAAAAATTGATTTTCTGAAAATTCTCATAATTACTTCAAACAAATTATTATATTCCCTTGGGAGTGCTTATCTCGCATTAAGCATCCATGAGCGTGAAATAGACTGAATGACGTCCATATCTATCCCATAATACCCCTACTCCGTTAGTGGTAGCGCACATCCTGATCAATAGGCAGAGCTCCCTAGGGGCCGTCTTGCAGGGTCTAAGATACTGTATTTAGCTGACACCAACACCCCTTGCACTGAAACACATGTGTCGTGCTTATTCTCTTAACACCTTCATGGAGGTTAATTCCTTTCCTAATGCTTAAAAAAGCAGCTTGAATTACCCTGGGACATGATGAATCCTCCCCTTGAAACCATGTCTATTTCAGGTTAGGAAATAATCCACACTGTTTTATGAGACTTATGTCTTTCAGATGCTCTGTGTTTACAAACCCATCACTGCTTTTTGTTAAAAGATAAGAAAATTTATGTTTGTCATGATAAGAAAAAATGTCCTTTCATCAGTGAAAACGTGTTGAAATTGACCAAATAAATGCAGAGCCCTGTACTGAATAAAGTCTTATTGAGACGTTGTATTGGTCTTTTATTGCATGATGTTCTCTCTGTTGTGGTGGGGAAGTGTTTAGTCGTCCTACAGAACACTATGTTTGAATCCCAATATTACCCCCTATTACCTTGGCACCCCCTCACTCCAACCCCTATTACCCAGCACCCCTACCCCTATTTCCCTGGCACCCCTCTCCCCAACCCCTGTTTCCTGGCACCCCTCACCCCAACTCCCTATTACCCTGGCACCCCTTCATCCCAACCCCTATTACCCTGGCACCCCTCAACCCAGCTCCCCATTATCCTGGCACCCCTTCACCCCAACCCCTATTATCCTGGCACCCCTCACCACAACCCCTATTACCCTGGCACCCCCTCACCCGTGCACCCTATTACACTGACACCCCCTCACCCCTACCCCTATTACCCTGGCACCCCAACCCCTATTACCCTGACACCCCTCACCCCTACCCTATTACACCCCTACCCCTATTACCCCCTGGCTCCCCTCACCCCAACCCCTATTACCCTGGCACCCCTCACCCCAACCCCTATTACCCTGGCACCTCCCTCACCCCTACCCCTATTACCCTGGCTCCCCTCACCCTACCCCTATTACCCTGGCTCCCCTCACCCCTACCCCTATTACCCTGGCTCCCCCTCCCCTACCCCTATTACCCTGGCTCCCCTCACCCCTACCCTATTACCCTGGCTCCCCTCACCCCTACCCCTATTACCCTGGCACCCCCTCACCCCAGCCCCCATGTACACCAGCACAGCCAGGTCCTTGGGATCACCATTAACATTAGCTGTTACAACAAGCGGAATCAGTTGTGCCTGCAATCCCAACATGGGTTCTCTACATCAGGTATAGTCCATGTAAACCAGCACACAGTTCAATGGGAGTTGTAGTCCTCACTGTGGCTTACACAAATCATTATTCTGACAAAGGCTGCCGTTATTGATGCTGGAGGTGGGATGGTGAGATGACATGCCTGGGTTATAGATAGCATGGTGTTCGTGCACTGACCCTGTGTGAACATGACACATGGTGTGCACAGCCTCAAGATGTCCGAGTAAACACGACATAGTGAACACTGACACCTTGGACTATGGGTAAACAACCACAGATTGTCACAGCTAGCATTAATACACACTTTTACAGATTCCCACTCTCACAGAGCTGCGACGTTCCATGCTTTGTAAACACATATGACTGTTTCTGATGTAGAAATACTGTCCAATACACGATCCATTAATAGACAACATTGGTGTGTCATTACACTGTTGGCTTGTTGCTCCCAGTGAGTGAGTGAGTTTAGTTTTACACCGCTTTTAGCAATATTCCAGCAATATCAAGGCGGGGGACACCAGAAATTGGCTTCACACATTGTACCCTAGTGGGGAATGAAACCCAGGTCTTCAGTGTGATGAGCAAACGCTGTAACCACGAGGCTGCCCCCCTGCCCCTTGAAATAACCACAAAACTAAATAATGTAGGGATCATGGATATTTTAGGGATATTGGTTTTCATATTGTTAGCTGAGTCTTCACTATGAAATATATTCCCGAAAATATTATTGTTACCTAACTTTTTATGTTCAGTATATTTCTGTGACATTTGCATCTATCTTGCAAAAGACATTTAGTATGTTACTTCAAAATGTGAACAAGATGAACTAGGCTGATAAGTAATCTTTATGATGTCATTACATCCCCAAAGCCCCAAAAATGGCCAGTATTTTACGAGACCTTGACTGACAAATCAGAATACAAGATTTATACCATAAATGATAAACAATCAACCACATCACTGAGCCTGACCTTCAAATCCATTTGCATCTGACACAAGTAAAAGGGAGTAGGGTTACAGTGGGGTAGCCTTGTGGTTAAAGCATTCACTCGGGTAGATCAAAAACCTAGGTTCAATTCCACAGCTTGTACAATGTTTGTCAATGACAGACAGACAGACACCACAGATACATAGACACCAGCAACACAAAAGTAGTTCCAGAAATAATAACTTATAGTACTCATTCTAGAAACAATGGACATTGTTACATTATATATCATTCTTCAGCCCGTAAAGGTGCCTTTGTGGAAATCTTGGAAATCTCAGGCTCCTATTAAAAGGAAAATAACCTCTGAAAGATTGTTTCGACACAAATGACATTTGCTCTGTACACCAACTTACAAATCGACACATTACTATGAGCATTGTAAGAACCGGTGATACTTCAAACATGGATGGCGGCTGTAGTGATAACGAGATTCAAATTCAAGACAAAATGACATCAGTGGTGGAATCACGAGAACCATGGCAAACATATGGCTATTGGACAGGCACCATTGCAAGATTACACATGTTCTTAAAGTTTTAGAGTTGTTTTCTTGATCATGTCAAAAATACTCACGATGGATTGATGTGGACAATCATCTTGTCATGAGTTCACCTGAACTCATTTGTCTCTGCCTTCTTGGCAAAATCAACAGACATAACTAATGAACATGGTGGAAGAACGGTGTTATTCATACTCACGTTCATCGAGGTCTGCTAAACTTTCAAATACTGCGGACACATTGGGGTAAAACGCATCTCGACCTGGCTGCCAAATGAGCTCTCCAATTTCTGAGAAAAGAATGATTATGAATATTTGAATTAAAAAGATCCACACATTTGCAGAAATCATGACTTGAAAGTACAATATGTATCATGTGCACCATAAGTTGAGTTTCACTGTGCTCTTCAAATTATTCCACTTATGCCAGTGTAGGAAAGATGTAGAAAATCTAGCCTGTCCACAGGACTGGCAGGTCAAATTTTTTACCAGTCCTGCCAAAATCTAGCCTGTCCTCCAAATATAAATAAAACACCTTCGGCAGTAAATATTCAAAAAGGTTATAATCATTATATATATGTCATTGGTTTGCTAAAATTGACCCGACATGAGGACGGACTAGATATTTTTTTAACCCGTCCTCCACAAAATTCACCCGTCTCGGACGTTGGGACGGGCTATCTTTCCTACACTGCTTATGCCAGTGTTTCAGAATGACGTGGGAGGAAAGTCGTACATGTACAAGAATGATGACCTAATTAAAACTTCAAGTATCAGAACTACAACATATTCCCTTACCCTCATGTTATGGGTTTTCAGAAGCAAAAGAACATCCATTGTTGTCTCAGTTATAGCTTGAATAATATGAAACACATCACCAACTTTATCTCAAACACAAGTCATCATATGAGCATTTACAATGTCTGTGTGTCACAAACTGCTTTGTTATAGGACAAATAAACATTGCCGCCAAAAAACATGTGATGTTGAAAACACATTGCAATAACTAAGCTTGAAGGATTTAATACAGCATAATTGCTGGAAAATTTATCTAAAATAAGAAAGTCATAAAAAAATTCAAAATAATTTAATTCATAACTTGACATGTAGGGAATTCAGAACAACCATTTAATTTTATTGTGGCCTAAGTATTTATCACCGTGATTCGAGGGGGGAAGTTCCATGAACCATATCAATCCTGTATTTTAATCAATAAACATGAATCTCTCTGTTTGTACGATCATTCAGCCTCAATATTATAACGGTTTTCTGTATTTGTTTAAACTCTGAAATGAATCCTGTTCATGGGCATTTTACCTTTTTTCGCTTAATAAATATTATTGACTGAATGTCAGTTGTGACACAGGGCCATTTGATCATGCTTCCCTAACAACAGATGTTAGTTCAGTTGATCTTTAAATAGTACATCCTATTTGGGCTGTAACTTAAACACTGCCAAGTGATCCAATACGCAATAACAAACATAACCATTTGCTTCTGTCCTCTCCACAAATAAGTAATGATGTATGATCGATCTACTGATGGCCTGCACACATCCTGTCTGAGAACAGACAACGCTAACATCTTCAAAAACAAAAGAACACCAGTATTCAGTTGAAGGGAAGCAAATATTTGCAATGCACTTACGTGTCTTTATATCTGTCAAGAGAAAAGAATGTCATTGTCTTTCAGTATAGATCCGACTATTGACAAGTATTGTTCAATCAGTCAGGGTATTTACTCCTAAGGTACTGGGCTGTAGACAGGTAGAGGTTGTATGGTGAGTCACTGAGAAGGTAACAGCTCCAGAAGCTACGTCAGATGTAGGGTGAGAATAACAAAATACACTGGAGACAAGGAGATCATAAAAAGTTAAGTTATCTGGGAAATATAAAAAAACAATATTGCATAATCTGATCGAGAAAATGTTCCAGTACAAAAAATTATGTTTTGCTGATGTGAAAGGGAGGTAAAAAAATCAGATATTTCTATTGACATCTGTGGGAGATTGTGACATAATAAAAGGACATACTTGCATGGTTTTTGTTTGTTTGCTTGTTTGGGGGCCTTTTTTTTGTTTTGTTTTTTGTGTGTGTGCATGCGTGCATGCATTTGTGTGTGGTTGAACTAGTGTCTACTGACTGCAGTCAGACAGTGCACACACTCCAAACCAACAAGTGTTTCTTAATCCCCTTTATACCAGGCACCAGGCAGGGAAATAACAATAAACATCTTAGCACTGTCTCTCGATAGTATGGGCGCCACTGAAGTTCTGCTCTCCATGCTGTAAACCCTGGACCACATTTCTCTGACCCGTGGACTTGGAGCCAGGCTAGAAGACTGAACTGAGGAGTTTTTAGCTGGCATGACGATTGTGGTGTTCTCACCTCGATCTTAAATGTGGATTTGAATCCAACCTCAGTATCTGTGCTGCTGTTTAAGTCCAAGAAAGACCAAGAGAAAGAACTCTCTCAGCTAAATATCAGTGACGTTTGTTTCAATCCAAGATAGACCAAGAGAAAGACCTCTCTCAGCTAAATATCAGTGATGTTTGTTTCAATCCAAGATAGACCAAGAGAAAGACCTCTCAGCTAAATATCAGTGATGTTTGTTTCAATCCAAGATAGACCAAGAGAAAGACCTCTCTCAGCTAAATATCTGTGATGTATTTTTTAAATCCTAGAAAGATCCAGAGAAGACCTCTCCTAGCTACATGTCTGCGCTGCTGGTTTAAGTCCATGAAAACCCACTGAAATGTGGACCCAGTGAAATGTGGGTTTGAGTCCCAGATTCAAAAACAGTAAAATCCATCTTTGTTCAATGTATGTAGTAAGGGTTTGAATCCCAGGATCCCTTAGTTTAAGATCCCGCTCAGCTCATTATCTGTGAAGTGGTTTTCAATCCCAATGGGTTTGAATCCCAGAATCCCACATAGAAAGATCCCCATTCATTTCTAAATCTATAAAATGGTTATGAATCTGAGATTCATCCACGGGAAGATTCCTGTCAGCTAAATATTTAGGATATGGTTACAACTGCAAAAGAAAAATTTTTCAAAATGTATTCTATATGAAAGTTGATTTGCTACAATATGTTGAAATACTCAAAACATTCTATTGCCCAACTCACTGAGTCCAGTACAGGGTTGAGACAATGGTGGTCATATGACCAAGCTGAAAGGATGACACACATTGAGCTGAATACTTACTGTTCATATCTCCTCCCATCACGTCCTTATTGAACCATTCATTTGTACTGGATGCAACAAATTCATATTGCTGAAATATAGAAGAAATAATATTAAGATTGAGGTACTGTAATAGTGAGTGAGTGAGTTTGGTTTTATGCCGCTTTTAGCAATATTCCAGCAACATCACGGTGGGGGACACCAGAAATGGGCGTCACACATTGTACCCATGTGGGGAATCGAACCCGGGTCTTCAGCGTGACGAGACAACGCTTTAACCACTAGGCTACCCCACCGCCCCAGGTACTGTAATAGGATATGCGAGAATAACACACTGGTATTTCAAAAGGTATCATCAAAATTAGTACACTCAAACAGTTTTCTTTGAATGGCAAACAGTGTTGTGTCAAACTTTGATGAGTTGAACCTTTGGTTGTGTTGAAGTTAAAGCTCGGTCCATACACACTCCTTAGTAAGTTTATTTGTGTCAAACTTGGAAAACTCGGAGTGCTTACATAGATCCCTTTAACTTTGACACAATGGTGTTTGATTGTGTTAATATTTCCTGGAAAGACATGAACATTTCTGGATAACAGGTGTATTGTTGGTAACAATGGTTCAGGGCCACATGCTGCTCCTTGACCTGGTGAGTACATTAGTCAGCCTATTGCAGTATACAAGGCAGGATTGCTGTGGACAGCAATAGGGCCATGTAACACCATTACAAACTGAAAGTATAACAAGTTGTTATCTCAAACCTTGAGTGTCTTCATGTTCTTTCAACTTGTAAATGTTTATGAAAGATTTTTGCCCACTTTGTTCTATTTAGTCTGTTGGTGTGTTTTACTCTTGTCCATCCTTTGGGGTGGTGGGGTAGCACAGTGGTTTAAGTGTTGGCTTGCCACCTCGAAGACGTCCCCCGCCATGATATTGCTGGAATATTGCTAAAAGTGGCGTAAAACCATACTCACTCACTCACTTGTTCATCTTTTCTGCAGTCCAATAGATCCTCAGTTTCTCATTTCTCTATTAAATTTGTATTTTTCATGTGTTTGATGTCTTTAAGTGACACATACATAAACATGTAACCCCAAGTCAGGCCGGAGCTTATTTAAACTTGGTCTATAAACATTACTGGTCTAAGGATTGAGATGTGAAAAAATGGAGAATGGAGAGTAAAGAGATATTTATTCTGCCAAACAGAACAACATAAATATCTCATTTACTCAGCACCTGACAACACATACAAATCAGCATATAAACACCGAGGACATGAAGAAATACATTAAGCAGGAATACATATTTATTGGGCCTATCAACCTTAATGGTGTTGCCAAAACTCTATGACACTTTCACATCCGCTTCAAAATAATGTCTTTCAATATTATAACCAAATAGCACAGAAAAGTGCAGACACTGAGAAGGTTCTCACTTGTTTCGTTGTTTGGAAGTAAGTGTTGACATCATCCATAGCACCCCCAACTGTCTCGTCTATGACATTGATGCCGTAGTGTAGGTTGGTGCTCACGATGGTGATGCAAATGACATAGATTCTGCAACATAAGAATATAATACCGTTTCTATCAGCAAAACAATAGCCTGTCTTGATTCTTGGGCACCAATTAGGATGTTATGGATGCTGCTGCCTTTGTGATATTCTTTGTGTATACTTAATAAAACCAAAAATATTTATTTCCAAGCCATGGAATCATCTTTCTGTCCCATGGGAAGCATCATGGTCAATGGTTGCAGAATGTGTTCTGCATGGTTGCATCCCAAAGCTTTTATCATCTTGTCATAGGTTCAAATATCAGACTCGCTCTGACAATTACATCCTAATTGGTCTGTCAGCGCCACACACAACTCCTTTGGTTTCAAGAACAATAACTTGCAGTTGGTTTCTCTACTGAGGTGATATGTTGCCATAGAAATACTGTTCAAATCAACATCTTTCTCCTCATACAAGAAAAGCAAAGAATATAATTCAATAAGGTGAGCCCCGTGGGGTTTTGAGGTCGGATAGGTCTCTTTCTGATAAAGCTCTACTTACAAGCTAAGCGTGGCACCGACGTAGCTGCCGACTACAAAGAAGGTGAACGGCTTGTCCCTCATGTACGGCTTTTTCACGAGGTATACATCTTTTTTCCTCCGTCGGTATTCGTGTCGTAGAAAGACCACCATGCAGATGAGGAAGAAGACTATGAGGAGACTGCCGGTGAAGCAAGCTATTGCTACATTTACAACATAGCGATCTTTCTGAAAAAGTAAATTCCAGGTGTCATCACTGATTTCTTTGATCCATCCTCATAATTTTCATCATTATTTTGCATCCATACCCAATAATTAGGTAGATTATCAAGACTGATTGATCTCTGGCATTCATGTATTCAATGTAAAGAAAAAACAGGGTCTGACGTCTGACGTCCAGTTACAGTTGTGGTCATGGTACCAAGTGACAGATGAACTAAAAGGACTGAGTGTTAAATACCATTTAACCGAATTGCATAGAATACACCCAAGTTTAAATTTAAATGACTATATGCTATTGGACACATGGATTCTCTAGACGGAATGTCCCAGTTTATGTGAGTAATCTGTTGAAATTAATGAAGTTGGGAAGATTATTTTTGATCTTACAAACAATGGCACTGACTGTTGCTCATGCTTTTAACCACTGGTTTGGCTGTCCTGGTGTGATTATTTACAGACAGCCATGATACAGCTGGAAATCTCACTCCACTCACTCAAATAAACACATACACTTACATCTATGCCGATATCACCCCCTTTCAGGAGACGTTGCATCGTTTCTGTAACAAAACACACTTTCACTGAGACTAAAACTATGGAGACAACAGCACATGCTGATGAGGTCTGTTGTCAGTGAGGGTGGAATGCCTGAGTATAGCAGTGACTTCATAGCAGTCATAAACTCACAATGATATTTCAGGTAGCATTCATTTCATCATTTGTTACAAATATATTCCAAAAAGTCTTTTGACAATAAATTGTTGTAAACATACATTAATTTTGCTGCAATGCAGTTATCAAGTATTTCAGGCAGGCATTCAGACTCTTCTTCACATCAGTTTTGAGTCCTTTATAAAATTCCTTAAAATCAATGACCATGTTATTCATTTACATGCTCACATAACAAATACATACAGCATGCATTTGTCAACACTGCTGCAGGGTTATAAAGCCTGCAGCCATTTAATACAGGGAGATAGCAGTTAGTGCATGGGACCCCATGAAGCCCTGGAGGCCATCTTGTCTATACTGAAGTTGTTGGTATTCACACAGTACTCCATGAAGTAATTGTGTGTCAGGGTCTGGGTTTGAATCCCTGAAGTTTCTGATCATGATGGTTCGGCATTCACCGATGCGGCAAATGTGACGTACATCAGTTTTCCTGTTGCATCACATTGACAGCGACTCAAGATAACTGAAATCTAGACATTAACACAACAGATAGGTCAAGCTGGAGCTTTAACCACACAATTGCCCTGAAAATGAGTTTGCTTCCATGGCATGTTCTAAATGACCAATGTTTTGATATCTAGTCATGGTCTCCGGGCTGAAACTGGACTCACTTGCAGGGAATGGTTCCGTCTGAATACTGTTGATTACTGCACGGGCGAAGGATATCGTCACTTCCCATCCTTTGGTTGGAGCATCTCTTGTTATACCATGGTACAATCCTGCGACAATAAAACATTCATATGTCAAGCTATGCCCGTCACTATATTAATACGGTCATTTTTTGTTTCATAGTCACACCATAAAAATAACCTTCAGATGCATAAACTGCAATCATGTCAAAATAACAATGATAAATGCTTAATGTAAGGACAATGCAACCTGAAACCTATCTATCATACCTGTACGTACAATATTACCATATATCCTGTATAAAGTGCACTGCTTCAATAGGCAGCCCTGGCCAACCTCTGTGTAACAGTCTCTGTGAGCGATTATGTGTACAGCCCGTATAGTTACATGACACGCCATACTTTGCGGTGTATATCAGATATTTTACAACAGCACAGCAGTGCAGAGAGGAATGTATTTCTAAATATCTATCATCATATAACTGCTGTTTTTTGCATGTTTCAACTGACTTTCTCAATCACTTGATCTCTGGCAATAAATTGAACATGTATGGTATTAACTCATTAAGCCCCAGAGCCACCTCACTACTCAACACCTGGAACCCCCTCGCTGATTGCCCAATCGTTGTGCCGAGACTAATTAGTGCTAATCACACCTGATTTCCCTGGCAGGTTTCAGGGATGACAGGAAACTGTCTAGTCGTACAAACAAGTCCTGATTGTTTAATTGTGTCGTAAAGATATATGTTGAAAGAAATCAGGTGTGAATACATGTCGTGTATTGCAAAGTTTTATGTAATTTTATTGCAAGCTTCTCTTGTAGACCTTTGGCGGCTTGTACATTTATATTTTATCACCATTTGCATGTATTCTTTGTATGTAAGAGATGAGACACACATAAACAAATTCTCTCTCATATCATTGTGTGAGATTTAATTTTACAAAACATCTATGACAATGACATACTGTAAAGAAGAATTTACTTACATACTTTTTAATCTTCGACGAAAATAGCATTTTTGCCGATACATTTCTAGTGTATACGAATTATTTTAATAAAAGTACTATTACACTAGTCGGTGACTAACGTACAGCACATTCATAGCTTGGCACTTTGTTTCATCTAGATTTAATGCAGAAAACATACGTGACCATACAAACATACATATAAAAAATGTATACTACATATTCCTTGCATAGACATAAAACAAAGAGTCACGTGATAGGGCGTCATCAAATTTCCCAAATAGAACGTTCGGCACTAACTTTTCAATATAGTGGCTGATCATTTGTTATCCGTGACCAATCGTATCATGAGATACCTGTCACAGAAGAAAGGACAGGTGATGGGGCGTGGGCAAAATTTCTGAAGAGCATGTTTGGTCACTCCAACAGCTTGGATAGAGATTGATATTATTGGCTATATCGTTGACCAGTCGATATGCTGGGTTTCAGCTTTATCAACTCAAGCTATCATGTAACAGTTTGTGTATTGAAAACATACATACTGGTAACGATGTATGAAATATACACATAATATAAGACAATAGGAGTAGATAGACACTTTGGCGAGTTTATCTGTCCTCATTTTAGTATTTTGCGATTGAAATCCAACCATTGAGTAGAGATAGTATTTATTTTCATATACATTTTACGCACACAACTAGAACATAAAACATAATGGTTTGCTTTTCATGTACACGAATGAATATCCAAACTAAAGTACACGTATTACAGAATTCACGAAGTGACACTATACTGAATTATTATAGTGTATAAACTTGAAGTTGAATCCCCCCTCCCAATATTTATGAATGAGGGCGTGCCTATATTTATACTGAATGCAAACGAGGTTCATAAGTTTACAGATGTGCATGCATGCATAAACATTACAGAGAGGGGCGTCACTCCATAAAGCAGGTTGTCCAATGATATAACAGCGTATCTGTTTATTTTACACTTGTCACGGGGCAAACCTTTCAAGAAGGACGTAACTACATATGCATTCTACCGGAGGCTGTTATTTCAAGGTCGAAAGAGGTGTTCAATTATCTCATTACTGTAATCTGATTGAATGAATATACGCATGTGTATCGATACCGTAACTGATATACTATCCTGCTTTTATTGACGATGGATCAATAGAGATTGAGTTCCCGGATACACGTGATAATTACACCGGATCAGATAATTACATAGATCAAATACAAATATTTTACACAATGCTCATGTAAATTGCATAGAAAACTGACAATTCAAATCAACATGAAACTTTCAACAGCTTGAACAAAAATGCTTGAAATACCTTTGTATGGTTTACATGTAATAACTTATGATATTACTTCTGTCTATGTGTGAGATTTTTTTTAATTACCAACTTACTGTGTTTTGTAACAAACGTAATATAAGATTTCATTGTTGTAATAACACTGACATATATATATATTCATTGCAAAGGCGCGACTTATCACTTTATATTCGATTAGGTAACATTATCAACTTTAGATTAGGGAAAATAACTATGTAAAATTCAGTAAGCTTCCAATTAGTAAGTTAAATTATGTCTAATCTATTCGAGCTTGGATGTGTGATTATTTGTGTTTTTATACATTATGTTTCATTATATGAAACATGACAACGTAATAATACCTAAAAAGTAATTCTTCAGTAACCTCTAAACCATTACATCTAATTCAATCAATGTGCATACTATGTATTTTAGTATGAAGCATACCAGACACTTATCTCTGTGAAAACATCATAATCCCCTTTCTCGCCGACATGTGTTCATTTGCCAAATGCTGTACAAGCCTATGATAATGATTAGCAATTGCTATCAAAACACTTTAAATACGTCTTCTGATATTGACACTAAAGGTAGCATCTATCATAAGAAAAGCTAATATTTGCTCAGTACTACTAAATTGGTTGAAATAATAGGTACAGTGCGATTTTTAAAAGTACAACACTCATGTGCGTCTCTCGCTGAATAAGAGGTGCTTTCTGTTGACGAATATATGTAGCTCTCGCTGTGAGAAACTGCCAATTACCTGCCCCATAAACACGTCACTCGCTGTGAGGGGCTGATTTATTTGCCCCATATATGCGTCTTCGGCCTTAATGAGTTAAAAAGCAACTTCGTTAGGACAAGGCCAGACACACATTATCATGATTATGGTATACTGTTATAAATACTGTTGTACTTCTACTGTAGTCTCATGTAAAATGTTACTTTCATGTTTTTCGAAAGACAGCGGTCATTGTATTCAAGGATATCAATATTTAATACTGAAAAGATCTAATTTCAGGAAAGTGAGTGAGTGAGTTAGCTTATGTCACTTTTAGAAATATTCCAGCAATATCACAGCAGGAGACACCAGAAATGGGCTCCACACATTGAACCCATGTGGGGAATCGAACCCTATGTCTTTGGCATGACAAGTTAACGCTTTAACCACAAGGCTAATGAACCGCACCTTCAGAAAAGTGAAAGTAATGGGTAGCTTCTTCATGAAAAGGTATGAAGAGATAAAAATATGTTTATAACATTTGGTAGGAAAGAAAATATATGTTTTGTGTAATTCTATGCTACAGCTAACTATATGCAAAATTCCATACAGTTTAAGTCAAGTCATGTGGTTGATATCATGACAGACCTCAAGCAACCTGTTCACGACAGCCCACCATGACAACTGGGAGAGATCCTGGCACTAAATACACATACTTGTCAACTCGACCAACAAGCAGGAAGTATGGAGGACTTATTTGGACTCGGTATAGCCAGAAGACATACAATCTTCTCACACCCAGCTTAACAGACTGTATCAGGCAATTTCAAGTTTAGGAATTCCCATGTTAAAGTTTAAACATACATGTCTCCCAGCATGTACATTCTATAGAAAATCACTTATATATATATAAGTGATTTTCTATGGAATGTACGTGCTGGGAGACTTTTGCAGTTGACTCTGCACTTTGAATAGAATACTGAGAAATGATCAATTTGTTTTCTTGTTTGTTTCCCGTATGGACCTCAGGACATTCCAAAGTCCTCCAGGGTGGCTAGGGGTGGATTCCAGGTGAGAACAGGTGTCCAGCAGCATCTGCTTGTCCCCTGTGTACTTCTGTACACACTCCTTGTCTCACAGATGACCTCGGGTCAATACCTTCCAGATTCAATGAGTAAGCATTGCCACACTGCACATGCACGTTGGCTGGGGTTTGACCTGAACATGTGTTGCTGTCATTCATGTCTGCATTTACTGGAGGGAAATAGATCCATAACTAAAATGACTGATGTTATTAATTATCTAAAAAAATCAATTCACTACATTATATCAGTCATTTTTACCCAGTTCATCTCTCTGGCTACTCAAAGCCAGTACATGGACAATATCTGTACATTGACAATACAAGTATATTGACAATACAAACATATTGACCATACAAGTACATTGTCAATACCAGTATAATGACAATACTATAATGACAATACCAGTATAATGACAATACCAGTATAATGACAATACTATAATGACAATACTCAGTATAATGACAATACTCAGTATAATGACAATACCAGTATAATGACAATACTATAATGACAATACTCAGTATAATGACAATACCAGTATAATGACAATACTCAGTATCATGACAATACCAGTATAATGACAATACTCAGTATCATGACAATACCAGTATAATGACAATACCAGTATAATGACAATACTCAGTATAATGACAATACTCAGTATAATGACAATACTATAATGACAATACTCAGTATAATGACAATACTCAGTATAATGACAATACCAGTATAATGACAATACCAGTATAATGACAATACCAGTATAATGACAATACTATAATGACAATACCAGTATAATGACAATACTATAATGACAATACCAGTATAATGACAATACCAGTATAATGACAATACCAGTATAATGACAATACCAGTATAATGACAATACCAGTATAATGACAATACCAGTATAATGACAATACCAGTATAATGACAATACCAGTATGACAATACCAGTATAATGACAATACCAGTATAATGACAATACCAGTATAAT